CAGAAAAAAAAACTCACCGGAGCAGGGGGCGACGCTGGCGCCGGGGTGGTGGGTGGGTGGGGGGGCGGCGGGGCTCCGGGGCAGTGGGATGGCCGGGCGGCGGGGGCGGGGGCGGCGCCGGGCGGGGCTCGGCCGTTAGTTAGGTTAGTTAGGATGGCCTTTGCCGTCCGCCCTCCTTTGTCGTCCGCTTTTCTTCATATTTGCCATCTGCGGCGGACGGCAAAGCAGGGGGACGTAACTATTTTTTAACCAGCTCCTCAGTGGGCCCCCTCCCTCTTTGCCGTCAGCTAGCGGACGGCAAAGAGCTGGCCGATGGCAAAGGCTTTCTTTGCCATCAGCCAGTTCTTTGCCGTCTGCTTTCGGGTAGCTGATGGCAAAGAGCTTCTTTGCCGCCCGCTAGCTGACGACAAAGAGCTGGCAGATGGCAAAATAGCTGATTCCAGTAGTGTATCGCTATGCTGGGGCAAAGGAGTTATACTGTGTCTATACTTCGATGACATACTGATATTTGGGACCCACCTCAAGGTCATTGAGGAGGTCAAGTCCTTTCTATCTCACAACTTTGAGATGAAGGACCTGGGTGTGGCTGATGTTATCCTGAACATCAAGCTACTGAGAAATTCTGAGGGTGGAATTACACTTTTGCAATCCCACTATGTTGAGAAGATTTTGAGTTGTTTTGGATATTCGGACTGCAAACCTTCTGCAACACCATATGATCCTAGCGTGCGGATTCGAAAGTTCGAAGGCACGACTGTAGATCAATTGAGATATTCTCAAGTGGTTGGTTCACTAATGTACCTAGCATGTGCTACTCGTCCTGACATCTCATTTGTTGTGTGCAAACTGAGCCGGTTTGTTTCCAATCCGGGAGATGTGCACTGGCATGCTGTTGAGCGAGTGATGCGTTATTTGCAAGGTACTTCGAACTATGGAATTCACTATTCTGGGTACCCGATGGTACTTGAGGGGTATAGTGATTCGAATTGGATATCTGATGCTGATGAGATGAAAGCCACAAGTGGACATGTCTTCACACTTGGTGGTGGTGTTGTTTCCTGTAAGTCTTGCAAGCAGACGATCTTAACCAGATCGACTATGGAAGCAGAACTCACAACATTAGACACATCATGCGTCGAAGCAGAATGGCTTCGAGAGCTTTTGATGGATTTGCCGGTGGTTGATAAACCAGTGCCGGCTGTCCTTATGAACTGTGACAATCAAACAGTGATTGCCAAGGCTAAGAGTTCAAAGGACAACATGAAATCCACAAAGCACATAAGAAGAAGATTGAAATCTGTCAGAAAATCAAGAAACTTCGAAGTAATAGCGTTGGATTACATCCAGACGGCTAAGAATATGGCAGACCCTTTTACGAAAGGGCTATCACGGATTGTGATAGAAAATGCATCGAGGGAAATGGGTATGATACCCACGTAAGTTGCCATGGGGGTAACCCAACCTATGTGATCGAAGATCCCGTGAATTAGGACATGAGAAAACAATCCAGCGGTCAACTGAGGAGAGTATCCTTAATTAACCCACTCCATTGAAGATACACAATACTCTCAATTTTGTAAGGCAGGCTGACTTTTGTCTTAATGTGTTCCAAAGCTTGTGTAAGTAAGATGCTAACCTACAGAGCATTCTTTGGAGGAACACACCTATGTAAGCCCGACTGCTGGTCACAGTCTATAAGATTGGATAATCTCTATTAAGCTCAAGAAGGTACGGAGTATGACTAATAAGCTCCACCCGTGGGGTTTAGCATTCGGCAGCCATGTATCAGCTGACAATAGGCGAAACTTCTGCACGCCAAACTAACAATTCAAGGCATAGTCCATTGTTTAGTTGTGAAGAAGTCTAATCCTGATGCTCTAGGTGGAAGTTCAACTTAACAGTCTCCACTGAAAATTCTGGTATATCAAACATTGTTTGGAATAGTTGACAAACTTATGTGCCTCGAGATCTGGTGGGGGATTGTTGGATTATGGATGGGCTTAGGCCCATATAAGACACTAATCTCTGGTTAATCTTGAGGCCCATGTATGATTTGGCACGTGGTGGGAAGTTTAGTCCCACCTTGCTAGTTGAGGAGAGTTCAGACCCTTTTATAAGGGTTGCTCTACCATTTGCCATTGGGAGTTTGGGAAGAGGAGTGGTACACGCACGCTCCTCCTCCTCCGCCGCCCACCCGCCTCGCCACGCCTCGCGCGCGCCGCTGGTTGCGGGAATGAGCCAAGCCGAAGCTTATTTTTGCCGCTCATGAATGAATTAATTAATCAGGAATTAATTAACGAGTCGCTAACATGTGGGCCACTGTCCAAGACGTTGGACTGTGGCGTTGCCGGGATTCGTCGACTCCCTTGTCGGGGGTGCGACCCTTGCCGGGACCCGCGTATTCGTCGACTCCCTTGCCGGGAGTGGGCCGACTCGGTCGTGGGCCTCGACAAGGCCCACGACTTTCTTCCTTACGGACTATATAAGAAGGCTCTGGCCAGTGAAGTAACTTAGTTCGGTTCACTGACTCCCTCTCGCGTGACCTAGCCATCATCTACTGTTCCTCACTCTGTGCTGCCTCCGGCGATCCCATCCCGACGACCGCGTGCACGGCTGGTCGGGAGAGCAGGTGCCTCCGCAACCCTGTCGTTCGAGATCCTGCCCGGGAGAACGGCAATAAGGTTTTTGGGGAGCGTCTCGACGCGACTGCTCCCGATCCGTCCCCAACTCTGTTCGCCTCTGCTTCCACTACTTCCTCTGCATCGACACAATGGCCGACGACGCCGCCGCTAAGAAGAAGGCCACGGACGACGCCGAGGCTGCTGCTGCAGCCGCCGCGTTGGCGTGGCCAACCGGAGGGTATGATCTGTTCATCTCTCGTTTACTCGTACTTATGCTAGCCGTATATGTGCTGCTCATAGAAGGTTCGATTCTATGTTCTATACGTGCTAGTATACTTAGGTATCGCTATGAGATGCATACCCTTTATGCCATGCTTACTGTTTACTCGTGGATAAGTCTAATCGGAAAAGTGCTAATATTTCCAACACCCGACGCCAAGGAGGTCCAGCCATGCCTGCCGCACTTCCAACCTATGCCTATCGGCAGCGATGTCGGGAACTCGTGGCGCGCGCTCGGTCGCCGCCCTGGACGACCATGAACCCAATCGTTTCTCGTCGTCCTTGGGAACGGTCTGCCCTGCCACCCTTGGACCGCACCTCGCTGCCGCAGCTCATCTCTGTCGACGGCGCCGTTCCCGCGGCTCGCCCTCCTTATCGTCGTCTTCCCCGGACAACGGCACCACCGTGATGTGGGGATGGTCAGCAGCATAACATGGATTGGAGCTTCATCGATGTAGGCGCGTGAGAAACAGGGAGGTGGCAGTGGGAAGAAGGGGATTCATGTTGGAGCACTCGCCGTGATTATTTATCAAAAGGAGCGGCCATGTTTTGAGGGAGATCGGGATCTGACAGCGTTGGATGGATGTGATCGTTTTTGCAATCTGTCACACGGTTGCCATATACATATTCCGTTAAAAAATTCCAGTGAGAATTTAAGGTTCACAGAGACAACGCATGCCAGAAAGCATGTTCATTTCTAACACCATACTACTCTATTTCCGCGAGCTACTGAAAGAATACCTTTATATTGAGTTAGCTCAGCCAAAATTCGTTTGAGTTAGCTCAACCAAAATCCATTTGCGTTAGATCAGCAAGTGACGTAACAAAAAAATAGATCAGCAAGTTGTTCCTAGTGTATATGCGCACATACATATACAATACATGTAGTATAATTTTTCCGTTGACATCACTGGCTCCATGTCCTATAGCCGCCACTGTTTTGGACCGTTGTATCACGTACTACTACACCAACCCACTCACAACAACAACAATGACATGCACATGCCCACCATCAAACCACCGGCAGCGATAAAAACTAGATTCCCGTCAGGGCGCACAACCCAACCAGCACAGTACCTAAAGTCCTGAGAGCAGGACAGAAGGACAGAAACCGGAGGACCGATGGAGATCGACGACGACGTCGTCGTCACCAGGGCCGAGATCACGGACGCCGCGGAGGCCACGTTCGCGGACTCCACCGTGATCCCCGACAGGTATGCCCGGCCGGACGAGGTCGGGGACGGGGTCGTCGTCGGCGGCGACGACGAGAGCCACGAGCTGCCGCTCGTTGACATGGCGAGGCTGCTCGACTCGGAGTCCTCGGAGGCGGAGACGGCCAAGCTTGGCTCCGCGTGTCGACACTGGGGCTTCTTCCAGGTCAGGCATCCTTAATACTACCCTTTTGTATAAGAGCGAATTTGCATTCGCATTATACTTCTCTGGGTATCCAATCTACACATTCTTCGGTTTTGCAGCTAACAAACCACGGAGTCGACGAATCGGTTGTGCAAGGCATGAAAGACAGCGCTATGCAGTTCTTCCGCTTGCCGCTGGAGAAGAAGAACGCACTGGCCGTCCACGCCGGCAGCTTGGGAGGGTTCGGGCACCACTTCACCGGATCATCCCGCAAGCTGGACTGGGCAGAGAGCCTCATCCTCGCCACGCAACAGAACGGGCAAACGAGCATGGACCTCTGGCCCGCCGACCCGCCAACATTTGGGTCATTTTTTCATTTAAACATTTGGGTCTTCTTTTCAAGCGTCACACGCCCATTACTGCTCTGTTTGCTTCGTCTCATTCGCCCGCCTGCTTATAACACCAGGGATGCGCTTGAGAAGTACTCGCTCGAGATGTCTGGCCTCACGAGGCGCCTCCTGGGGTTCATGGCGAGCGACCTCGGAGTGGAGCGGGAGGCGCTCGACGGGGCCTTCCGTGGCAAGACGCAGAGCGTCGCCATGCACCACTACCCTCCGTGCCGGCACCCGGACAAGGTGATAGGCATCACGCCGCACCATGACGGCCTCGGCCTGGCGCTCCTGCTGCACGTGGACGACACCCCCGGCCTGCAGGTGAAGAGGGACGGCAGGTGGTTCCCGCTGGACCCGCTGCCGGGCGCCCTCGTCGTCAACGTCGGCGACATCCTCCAGGTCCTCACCAACGGCAAGTACAGGAGCGCCGAGCATAGGGTGTTGGTGGACGCCGAGAGAGGCCGGGCGACCGTGGTGATGTTCCAGGACGCGTCCGTCGCCGGGACGGTGAAGCCGCTCCCGGGGCTCGGCGAGGCAAGGTACAGGGAGATCGAGTACGGTGAGTATGTCAAGGGGAATTTCAGGGGGCTCGCTGAAGGGACCAGGTTCGTGGACAGCCTCGAGATCAATATAGCATAGGACGGTGGGCATCTTCGAGAGAAGAGATGCAGGGCCAGTTCTTTTCGCTAGTAATTCTTCAAAATATATGATTCTGGAAAACTGCTCACAGAATCGTCTGCTCACAGAATTGTCTGTCCAGTTTTTTATGCAATTCTAGCCTTGATTGTTCTATGAGTTGTTTGTTGAAATGTATGTAACGTCCTTAGATTGAAGTGAGTGATGAATGGGCAACACTCGGTTATTCCTGACAGTTTCATGTCTAATATGAACATGAAAACAAGATGCAAATCTCATTTAGATATATTATAACTACGCACTCTAGGAAGCTTCTCAGGCTATCAGACTACAAAGCCGTTCATTCTTCAGGTCTGATCATGCATGACCATCCGATTCACATAGAAGTTATGTCAAGCGCGTCGTAGGCTGAAACTCGCACGGATGTCCTTAAGGGCCGCTACTCCACCGACATTTTAGGAGGCCCGTGGTTGCATGTTCCTAGCGGGCCGCCCTCGGCTCAGCCCATTAGATAGATCACTCCATGCTCCTAAGGTCCTCCCTCCCGATCTCCCCTCTTTCTCCTGGGAGGTGAACATTGAACGTAACTGCGCCGCGGCCACGGCTGCTACAACCCTAATCATCCACCACAGATGTGATTCCCAAAGAAAAATCCAGCACACACGACATGAGAAGCAGTGGGTACGAGGTGAGCGCTTCGTGCCTCACAGTCGCCGCTCTGGGGTTGCGCCTGGTCCGTGCGACTTGGGCAAGAGGGTCGCATCACGGGTCGATGCAAGGGTGCTGTGATGAGAGAAGCAATCTTCGTTGTAGATTCAAGTCGAGGCGCTACTGGACTTTAATGACGCGTGATGTGCGCCACTCGCAGGTGTCGTACATGGAGCAATTTCGATGGATAATTGCAGGTCAGTTACCATCTCGCAGAGGCCACAGTATTCTCCTTACGCCCTCACACAATGCGAGAAGTCGTGATTTCACTAGTGGTGCCCTTGAAGGCGGCAACTGAACTTTTACAAACAAGGTTGAGGCTCTCTCCACAACCAAATTGTAGGCTCCCAACAACACCATGAAGTTTCAACATAATGGAATATGGCTCCGACGTGATCTCAGCCGTCTAGGGTGCTCAAACACCCAAGAGTAACAAGATCCGCAAGGGATTAGTGGGGGAGTCAAATTTGTCTTGGTGGAAGTGTAGATCTAGGCCTTCTCAGGCAATCCCTAAAGAATCAACAAGTTTGATTGGCTAGGAAGAGAGATCGGGCGGAAATGAGCTTGTGAGCAACAATGAAGCTTGGGGGAGGAAGAGGTATCAACTTGGGGAAGATGACTCCCTTATATAGTGGGGGATGAAACACAACCGATATGCACCCACAGCCCATGCACAAGCGGTAGTACCGCTCAGGGGAGCGGTACTTCCGCTGGCACGGAAGTTCTAGCCGCTGCATACAAATGACCAAGTCAGGGAGGCGGTAGTTCCGTCGGAGCGGTACTACTGTTCCCACCAGCGGTACTTCCGCTTGGTGTTGAGAAGTAGCCAGAATCCGCGGTAGTAGAGGGAGGCAGGGCGGTAGTGCCGCCCTGGGCGGTAATACCGCTAGGAACTGCCGCTCTACTTCTGCCCCCGGGACAGACCAGTCCAGAACGCAACAAATAAGCGGTACTCCATGCGGCAGAAGCCAGCGGTAGTGCCGTCGGAGCGGTACTACCACGCCGAGGAGCGGTACTTCCACTTAGCATGAGAATGCCCAGTAAACCCGCGGTAGTAGGGTGGTAGTTAGGCCCGCAGTACCGCTGGAGCGGTACTACCGCGCTGAACTGCCGCTCTACTGCTGCTCATTTACAGAACATGAAGTAGGAGCCGCACTGCTTTGTGGTAGTACCGCTGGAGCGGTGCTACCGCTGAGCGGAGCGGTACTACCGCTTAAGCAGTTCTGAAAAGGTCCAAGCAAATAGGTGGGACAAGCTCAAGAGCTGGGAAAGAAAGAGGGTGCAAGGTGACAGTGTACGTGTTGATTCCACCCAAATCTTTCTGAAGCGGACCCCCTCTTAACAGTGCGGTGATCCTACGACTCAAGTCCACTGAAAATGAAACGCAAGAAAAACACCGTCTTCATAAACATTCCGAGGGGTTCGAATCGTCTTTGTGCCAAATGATAAATTATCTGAAATGCTCAATGGACACGATTAGTACGCAAAAGTATTATCATCAATCATCAAAACCACTAAGGAAGAAATATGCCTTACCACTCTCTCTCCTCTCTTGTGCCTAAATTCTTCATGTGGTACAGTTCATCAGAGAAAGAAAATCCTTGTGTTTGCAACAATGCATATAGGTTCAGAAATGTTACATCTGAGCTGCATATCTTCCTATCCAAATTATGTTAAGCATCCAAGTGAATCCCAACATCCCAAACAACATCATTCAAACTACAATTGACGGCAAAGTTGAAAATTTCAAAGAAACTAACCCTAGCCCCCAATTTGAAATAGGCAGAAAGAAGAGACGAGAGGAACTTACAACACGCCACCAGCTCCACTGGTCCAGTGATCGCTACTGGTAGGGTTGGCCACCCAAATCTCTGCCAGCCTCGCTGAAAGTGCGTTATATCAACTAGAGGGGGGGTGAATAGGCGATTTTTATGAAAGTCTTCAAAACGTGGAAGTTTCGAAGACAAACGATAGAAATAAACCTATTACCATGCAGCGGAAGGTAGACTACACTAGGCAAGCCATAGTCAAGTATTCAAGTGAGAGCACAATGACTAATAGCAGCAATGCAGTAAGGATCAGGTAGGAAGATATTATGAAGCCAAACAGAACACGCAGTCACTTAGTGAAGACAAAAGATAGTGCAATCATACAATGACTTCACAAGGAGTAACAGTAAGTAGAGGGACAGGAAGGATGAAATCAGTGACTCGTTGAAGACAATGATTTGTTGGACCAGTTCCAGTTGCTGTGACAACTGTACGTCTGGTTAGGGCGGCTAGGTATTTAAACCTGAGGACACACAGTCCCGGACACCCAGTCCTGAACACGCAGCTCAGGACACCCAGTCCTCACCGTATTCCCCTTGAGCTAAGGTCACACAGACCTCGCCCAATCACTCTGGTAAGTCTTCAAGGTAGACTCCCAAACCTTCACAGACTTTGTTCACCGGCGATCCACAATGTCTCTTGGATGCTCAGAACGCGACGCCTAACCGGCTGGAGGATGCACATTCCTCAAGTGTAATAAGTCTTCAGATCACACAGACACGAAGACTTAAGTGATGCCTAATTCTCTTTGGCTCTGGGTGGTTAGGGCTTTATCCTCGCAAGGAATTCTCTCTCAAAGGCTTTGAGGTGGGTTGCTCTCAAACGACAAAAGCCGTACACTAACTCTGAGCAGCCAACCATTTATGGTTGTAGGGGGTGGGCTATTTATAGCCACTAGGCAACCCGACCTGATTTGTCCGAAATGACCCTGGGTCACTAAGAAACTGACACGTGTTCCAACGGTCAGATTTCAAACTCACACGGCAACTTTACATGGGCTACAAGCAAAGCTGACTTGTCCGACTCTGGACAAGATTCGCTCTCATAGTCTTCACTCGAAGACATAGGTTTTGTTTAAGCATCACTTCAGTCATTCTGAATGGTTCTCTTGGACCCCACTTAACAGTACGGTGGTTCCTGTGACTCAACAAGGAAGAGGAAAAAGAGCTACGAAAGATCTAAGTCTTCGAGCTTCACAGGCTTCATGCGATGTCTTCTCTTGTCATAGTCTTCAATGTGAATATCTTCATATACCACCTTTGACATCAGTGTCTTCATACATTTTTAGGGGTCATCTCTGATAAGAAAACCGAATCAATGAGGGACTTCTACCTGTGTTATCCTGCAATTCTCACAAACACGTTAGTCCCTCAACTAGGTTTGTCGTCAATACTCCAAAACCAACTAGGGGTGGCACTAGATGCACTTACACTCGCCCTATCCTCCATGGACAGCGCCGCCTCCTCCAAATCCTCATCGTCGGTGCTGGAGTAATACGAACTGGAGCCGCCGTCGTCCAGACCTACCTGGTCATTGCTCCCGAGGCCAGGAAGGTCACCGTAGCCACCCACACCGTCACCGCCGCCGTGAGTCGCCGCCACCATCGCCAGAGAGCGAGGGGAAAGGGAGAAGGGAAACAAGAGCTAGGGTTCGTCCCACTCGAACCAGTTTGGCCGAGCCAAAACGACCGAGACGGGTTCGTCCGAGTCAGCGGAGCAGCGCGCGCTGGTAGGCCACCATGTCACCTGACAGGTGAGGCCACTCGGTCAGATACACTGTCAATACATGGTTAGATGGTTGGCAGGCCGTTTTACAACACTTAGGCTGAGAGTTGGTACTGACTTGCAAAAAATTGACTAATGGTACCAATTAGTTACGACGTGCTGAAGTATGGTAGTTCCTTGTAATTAACTCTTCGTGGATAGTCTCCAGCGCAGGATGAGAAGGAAATCTAAATGGGTTTTGTTAATGGTCAGGCACGTGTAATCAGTTGATTTTGCACGTTGGCACACTTAGAGTCTTTTTTTTACATCAGCATAGTTGGGCCTAGGGATATCACAACCTCATTTAGGGCCTCCACAGTGGTTTAAAGTGTCCGCTTGGGTGTTCGGTTGGCTTTTTTAGGTGTGTTTTGTTTTTACCTCAAAAAAGGTGTGTTTTTGCTTTGTGTGCCTGTTGTTGTGTGTGTGTGTGCTTGCTCTCTCTGTGTGGGTTGTGATTGTGTGTTCTTGCTCTGTGTGTGTGCACTTTTTTTGCGGGGGAGTGTGTGCGCGCTTGTGTGTATATGTCTCTGTATGGAATAAATGGGGTAGTTCTACATTAACAACATGAAATGCAAATCCATTTTAAGATGACCCCGGCCCAACACTGTAGCTCCACCCCTGCCCTTTAGAAATGATGAATTGCCTCGGTTTCTGTCATAGGTAGGTGTTGTAATGGGTTGAGTTGTGTGCCCTAGCGAGAATCCAGTACTTAAGTTGTCCATGCTCGTTCGATGGCGGGCATGTGCACGACAATCATGTGGCCATGCTTCTGTTCTGCTCCACTCTATTACATGTAATGTGCTTTCATATTTCTGGATCATTATATTTGTTGGAGAAACATTTTTAAGTATGCATATTGGTTCAATCACTTCATATCCATCGCCACTCATTTGGCCATCTTCATCTCATCTTGTCACTTCATGAGGTTCTAAGTTCTAACTACTTCATGAGCTATGTTGTACTGGACTCTGTGTGCAGACATTTTGGAGACGGTTGCTAGGGCTTTGTCCATTCGATTTGGCCGGCCACATGGCAATAAAATTTGTGATGCATAAGTGCGCCACGTAATCGCTATTGTCAATGCCTTTTGCCATGGGACCTTTTTTTTCTAGTCCATTTACTTCTAACATGAACAATGGTGTTATTATATAAAGGAAAACCCACCATTCGTCTCCCTCGATGCATGCTTTCGCCTCGCTTTACAAAAAAAAAATGTATAAAGCGCAAACAAGATAAACAACTAAACGATACGAGGTAATGAGGAAGCCCTCTTACAAAGCAGAGCTTGGGGTAACGGATAACAAACGCATGTGACTACGTTAATGGCAGATAACGAATGAAGACCTGAACACAACGCCACGACACGCCCTAGTACACCTAACCTCTGCAACAACGCCCTAAGAGGGGGAACGGCGCGAAGTGTCACTGCTGCCTAGCCCGAAACTGACAAGCATCTTCATCCGGAACCTGGCACAGAGAAAAGAACCACAACGGCATCCTAAAAAAAAGTGACACTCACACGAAGCTTTCGTTTGATAGCTCACCCGTGACATCACGAAGCACCCAGGACAACCACGACAAAAGTTTTCAGATCCAAATCTGTGCGTCGTCACTGTCAATGACAGAGACCATGCCCACCGCCACAGTTGCCATGACTCAAAAGTCAAAACAATGTGGATTCGTTACCACAAAATGGTCCGACCGCTGTATCACTATACCTACCCACCCAAAACAACATTATTGAGATGCGCATGCCCACCATCGAACCATTGACAGTTTTTCTTGGATAAAATCTAGATTCTCAACAGGGCGCACAACTCACGACTCAGCACATACCTGAACGCAGCAGAGAAGGACCGGGGCGACTCAGCACTAATTCCTGGGAGGAGGAGGAGGAGGACGTACACGCACGGGAGGGTCGATGGAGATCGACGGCGACCTCCTCGTCACCAGGGCCGAGATCACGGACGCCGCGGCGGCCACGTTCGCGGACTCAACCGTGATTCCCGACAGGTACGCCCGGCCGGACGAGGTCGGGGACGGGGTCGTGGTGGGCGACGACGAGAGCCACGAGCTGCCGCTCGTAGACATGGCGAGGCTGCTCGACTCGGAGTCCTCGGAGGCGGAGACCGCCAAGCTTGGCTCTGCGTGTCGAGACTTGGGCTTCTTCCAGGTTAGGCATCCTTCATCCTTTTTCGTATATATAGAGGGAATCTGCATTTGCATTATCCTTTTTCTGTAACAAATCTACACATTCTTCGTTTGCAGCTAACAAACCATGGACTTGACGAATCGGTTGTGCAAGACATGAAGAATAACGCTATGCAGTTCTTCCGCTTGCCACTGGAGAAGAAGAACGCGGTGGGCATCCAGGCCGGCGGCTTGGGAGGGTTTGGGCACCACTTCACCGGACCATCCCGGGACAAGTTGGACTGGGCAGAGAGCTTGATACTCACGACGCAGGAGAACGAGCAAACGAACGTGGAGTTCTGGCCAGCCGATCCGCCAACATTTAGGCATTCCTAATACACTACTACTGGTATGACTTTCGTCCAAAGTCAAATAGTGCACATGCTTATCACTCTGCTTGCTTTAATTCGGAGGTCTTATTCGCCTGCTTATAACACAGGGATGCACTCGAAAAGTACTCGCTCCAGATGTCTGGTCTCACGAGGCGCCTGCTAGGGTTCATGGCGAGCGACCTCGGAGTGGAGCGGGAGGCGCTCGACGGGGCCTTCCGGGGCAAGAGGCAGACCGTGGCCATGCACCACTACCCTCCATGCCGGCACCCGGACAAGGTGATAGGCATCACGCCGCACCACGACGGCCTCGGCCTGGCGCTCCTGCTGCACGTGGACGACACCCCCGGCCTGCAGGTGAAGAGGGACGGCAGGTGGTTCCCGCTGGACCCGCTGCCGGGCGCCCTCGTCGTCAACGTCGGCGACATCCTCCAGGTCCTCACCAACGGCAAGTACAGGAGCGCCGAGCATAGGGTGTTGGTGGACGCCGAGAGAGGCCGGGCGACCGTGGTGATGTTCCAGGACGCGTCCGTCGCCGGGACGGTGAAGCCGCTCCCGGGGCTCGGCGAGGCAAGGTACAGGGAGATCGAGTACGGTGAGTATGTCAAGGGGAATTTCAGGGGGCTCGCTGAAGGGACCAGGTTCGTGGACAGCCTCGAGACCAATCGGTTTTGCTAATGGGTATTCTGTTGGCTTTGTTTTAGGTGTGTTTTGTTTGCCTCGGCGTGTGCGTGTGTGTGGGTTGTGAACGTGTGGTTGTGTGTTCTTGCCCTAATGCCCTGTGTGTGTGCGCGCGCGCGCGTATATGTCTCCGTATGGAATTCATTTCTGTAAGTGATCTGCTTGAATCATAATAATATTAAAGTTGCACTACTATATGCTTGTTTCTTGCATTTTTGGAATAGTGGAAGTTCTATAAAATCTGCTATAAATTTAGTCTATCATTTTCTTGATATTTTTATTTGTTTGTTCTTCTTTTAGGTAATACCGGTACACTCATTTCATTATAGTAATAAATGTCCTTTTATTTTTTTATGATGTCTTTGTTTATTTATGCTTAGTCAAAAAAGTTTGTCCGTTGGATTTTCTCTAATATTTGTGCATGTGACAGTGTATTCGATGTCCAAATCATGTGTCACACATTAGTTTTGCGTTAGGAACTTGTATGTAATTTATTTTGTAAGTGATCTAATTCAATCATAATAATTGTTGAAGTTGCACTACTCTTTGATTGTTATTGAAAAGGCTCAGGTAGAAGTTCTCCAAGGGTCACAGTCCCCTCCCGAGGCGCTCCCGCGGGCGCCCCTGGGAGGGAACCCTAGCGCCGCCGCCCCCGTCCCTCCGCCCCTTCCCCCCTCCCTCGCCGCCGCCTGTGGCGTCGCCGGCCAAAGGCCGCGTGGCGCAGGCGGCGGCAGGGAGGCTCTCTCCCTCGCGCGGGTGGCGGACGTCGCGGGGCGGCCTCCCCTGCTCGGTGGCGTCGGGCGTCGGCTTGCCTCTGCTCCGGCTTCCCTCCTCTGCCTTGCTCCCTGGTGACCGGCCGGCGTCGCCTCCTCTCCTCCCCCCTCCTCGTGAGGCTCTGGAGGCCCGGGGGTGTGCTGGTGGCGGATCTGGAGCCCCCTACCCAGATCCGGCGGGTGCTAGCGGTTGGCGGCTGCAGGGGCGACCGACGGCCCCTTCTAAGGTGGTGGTGGTGCAGCCGGGGTTCTTCCTCTCCGGCGGGGTGGCTGGGCACCGGCTGGACCTGGCCAGGGCGTGGATACGCGGGGGGGGGTGTGCGTGCGGCCGGTCTCTTGCTGGATCCGGTCGGATCTGGCGTTGGGGGCCTGCCTGCGGCGCGTGGTATCGGTGGTGCGTGCCCGGCGGCTCCGGCGCTTGGAGCTCGCCAGGCGACGCGGGTAGGGTAGCGGCCGGGCATGGCCGCTGCTTCGGCCGTGGGCCGCGGCATGGGGAGGTCCGACGGTGGTACTCTCCCGGTGTCGTGGCGGCTTCACGGTGGTTGACGGATCTGCCCGCGGCGGCGGCCGGCTTCTCCGGCGTCGGCTCGTCTATGTTCGGGCCGTCTCGGCCTTCGCCCCATCTCCTCGTCGCCCGGGCTTTACTCCCATGAAAGGGCTGGTCCTCTCCTAGCTGCGGTCTATCGCTCATCTCGCGCCCGGTGCTGCAGGACCGAGCTCGTCTCGCGCACGATGCAGCAGGACTGAGCTCGTCTCGCGCACGGTGCAGCAGGACTGACCTCATCCCCTTTTCGGTGCTGCAAGACCAAGCTCGCCTCGCGCACGGGGCAGCAGGACGGGCGGATGGATGCCAGTTCTGGCCGACCTATCGGGTCTCGGCGTTGGGGGTCGCCCAGGGGTGCGAAAGGTGGGACCTTTTCGCTCGTCTCTTTAGTTGGGGTTGCGGCGGGTCTCGGGTGAGGTGGTGTCAAGGTCTTGGATGCCGGGTGTAACACCCCGTATGTAACATGCCATATTTGTATTCCAACCCTTGCCATTTCCGGCATTAAGTTATGATATTTCCTCGTTGTCGGGTTTTTTTTCTTCGTGTTGCTTTTGTCTTTGTCATGCATCTCATATCATGTCATCATGTGCATTGCATTTGCATACGTGTTCGTCTCATGCATCCAAGCTTTTTCCCCGTTGTCTGTTTTGCATTTCGGCGCTCCTATGTCCTCCGGTGTCCATTTCTACCTCTTTTCGTGTGCGGGTATTAAACATTCTCGGATTGGACCGAGACTTGCCAAGCGGCCTTGGTTTACTACCGGTAGAGCGGCTGTCAAGTTTCGTGCCATTTGGACTTCGTTTGATACTCCAACGGTTAACCGAGGGGCCGAGAAGACCTCGTGTGTGTTGCAGCCCAACACCTCTCCAAAGTGGCCCAAAACCCACCTTAACCTCCTCCATCATCTAGATCGTTTGATCACGATCGCGTGGCCGAAAACCGTGCTCAATTTGGAGCCCCCTAGCTCCTCCTACCTATAAATATAGCCTCTCCCCCGAAATTCCGGATCCCTACCTACCCTAACCCTAGCCCCCTTCCTCTCCGCGCGCCGGACAACGTCCGGGCCGCGCCGGACAACCGCACCGCCATCACTCCCGTCGCGCCACATGGCAGGCGCCCACATTGCCGCCGCTGGCCCGCCTGGGCCCGAGGGGAGCCCTCCCGGCACGGCTCCCCCGCGCGCCGCCCGCACCTCCGCCCGAGACGTCGCGTCGCGCCTCGCCTCTCCTCTCTCGTCGCCGCCCAGCTCGCCGCGCCGCCGCCCCGGTCCGCCCGGCGCCGCATGGTCGTCGATGGTCGCCGCCCCGCGTCCGCCGCCGCCTCGGGTGACGCCCTCCTCGACGTCCGCGCCTCCGCCGCCATCGTCCTCGCCGGCGCCTACCACAACCCGGCCGACCTCATTCTCTCCCTCGTCTCCGACGAGCCCCTCCTCTCCGTCGTCCCCGACTCCGGCCACCTCCTCTCCGGCGACTCCCGCTCTGGCCAGCTACAGTGAACTCCGGCGAGGACCTCGGTTTCCGTGCGATCCCGATCCAGATCTGGATCCAACCCTAGGGGTTGACTTTTTCCCTCTCTCCTAGTAATTTTGTGCATTTTCATCGCATCATAACTCTGCAACCGTGGCTCCGTTTTGGGCATGTAGCATATCATATTGTTCGTCTCGACGAGTACTTCATTTCATTTCATTGCACCATGTTCATTTGAGCTCATCTTGATGCCATAAATACTGTTGCAAGAGTGCTAGTTTCTGTTAGTTTCAGATTCATATCAGTAATTGGACATTTGTCATTTTTGCCATGATTGATGTGTGCCTCCTATGAACTTGAGCTCTACATGTGTTTTGAAGTATGCCATGCCATATTTACAGGGGTGTATACCATGTATTTTTGTGATCTCTATGGTGACTAGCACAAGCATGCAAAGTAACCCTAGTAATGTTGCTGATTTCAGTGACTTAGAAATATTCTAAGTCTTTTGTCCTGTCAATATTTTTATGTCATGTATTCATGTTGCTACCGAGTGATCCGTGCCTCTTTTGAGCATGATCTGTAAGGATGTTTTGTAGATATTGTTGTGCTCTATCCATTCATGTCTTTGTTTGCAATTATGGAGCACCCTAGCTTGAGTCAATCGAGCTCTACTTTTGCTATAAAATGTTCCTGGCAGAATGTTTACATGTTAAGCATTTTTTCTGAGCTTGTTGTAGTTGATCCATGCATGCTATGTTGTTGTTCTTGCCATGTTTAGCTTCTATGCCATGTCTACTTGTTGGGTGTATGCTTAGTTTGTCATGCAATGCCTTGTGGTGAGTGCATCGAGCTCGTAAACATGCCTACTTAATATCTGTTTTGCCATGCTCTAGTTTTCTACTAAGTCTGAATCTGTTAACGATAATTGCTATGTTCACATGGATGCCATTGTATTTTCTGATCCCTTTTGGCTTATGGTCAGTAAAGGACTTTTGCTGTATGCTTTGAGTAGCTTCATGACATGCCTTGCTTTGCCATGATATGATCCTGTAGCATGTTGTTATCTTGCTCTAAACATTGCTTCCAGATGTTAAATTCCTGGCATGTTGTTATTTCACTAAGTCTGTAACCTGTAATCTTTTACACTTTTGTCATGCTTGTTTGAACCTGCTATTGAGTGAATTAGACGTAGCTTAATGTTCATCTTTTGTCAAGCATCTTGAGTGGATCTTTGCCATGTTTTTTGTTGCTATGTTAGAGTGCAGTAGCTTGTTGTTCTTGATGCATTTATATGGCCTCGTGCTGTTAATCGCGGATCGGTGACATTTGTTTTGCTTGCCATTTGCAAACCGTGCATCCGATTCCGGTGATCTTTATATCGATTTCGACCGAAATCAACTACTATTTCCAGTGGAACTCTTGGTTTTCCAAGTTGAGGCCAGGTTCTATCTTTCCTTTTCAAAACATGCATATGCATTGCATATCACATCCCGCATATCATGTCATGTTTTGCATCATGTTGTTTGTGCATTGCACGTGGTTGATTGTGTCTCCCTTTGCTTGTGTTCTTGCTTGGGTAGAGCCGGGAGACGAGTACGTGATCGAGGAGCCCGTTGAGTACGTTTACGAGGATCAAGCTAACGTCAACTCGGAGAACCTTGCAGGCAAGATGACCATACCCTCGAAATCACTTCTATCTTTGCTTGCTAGATGCTCGCTATTTTACTATGTCTATGCTACGATACCTACCACTTGCTTATCATGCCTCCCATATTGCCATGTCAAACCTCTAACCCACCTTGTCCTAGCAAACCGTTGTTTGGCTATGTTACCGCTTTGCTCAGCTCTCTTATAGCGTTGCTAGTTGCAGGTGAAGATTGGAGTTTGTTCCTTGTTGGAACATGTATATTATTGGGATATCATTATTATATCTTGTCTATCTTAATGCACATATATACTTGGTAAAGGGTGGAAGGCTCGGCCTTATGCCTGGTGTTTTGTTCCACTTTTGCCGCCCTAGTTTCCGTCATACCGGTGTTATGTTCCTTGATTTTGCGTTCCTTACACGGTTGGGTTATAATGGGAACCCCTTGACAGTTCGCCTTGAATAAAACTCTTCCATCAATGCCCAACATTGGTTTTACCATTCGCCACCTAGCCTTTTCCCTTGGGTTTCGCGGACTCAAGGGTCATCTTTATTTTAAACCCCCG